ATAAGGAACCAGCAGATCAAGTAGCTTTTGGAATAAAACACCAATTTTTTTAAAATTAAACACTATCTAAAGATTTGCATCGAAGCGTTTATTTTTGATAGTGATTTTAATCACTGTCAGATATCATTATACTTGATCCAACTATGCCACGTCACCACTGTGCCGCGACCCCCCTGTGTTGGGTTTTTTATTTTTACCCAATTAAATTTTTATTTTATATATATTTTAGTGCCTCAAAAATTATCTTAAGAAATTAAAATTGTTGAGATGACTTCTAAACAATTAAAACAATGTAAATTTTACTGGTTATCTTTATTAGAACATATTTGAAATTAAAAATTAATTCATCATAACATCTAACTCGAGCAAAAAAAAATTACATTTTTGGAATTTCGAATGTATTTTTCTAATAAATGTTTATTTTTATTTATTTTAATTATATGCGTCTTAAATTCAAAATAAAATTACCATAACGTAAATAATCGATGCAATAATCTTCAAGTTTTTGTGTTGATTCTTTTTCTTCTAACAATTTAATGGCAACGTTTAATGGTTCATCGCAAAAGAAGAATTTTCGTAAAAACTCAGCCACATCTGGTTTTTCATTTGTTGAAATAGGAATAATACTGTAAGAGTTTTCTTTTTTTTCACTTTTGACGATTGAATTAAATTTAGCGTCCTAAAATATCAGGTTAATTTATTTGTTGAGAAAATAAATAATTATTTCAATAAAATTATCCTTAATATCCCCCATCCACCTCATGACTTAACTCCTATTCAAAATTTCTTGCAACTTCTTTCTTTATCTGATAGAAGACACGATTCCAATATGCGTTTCCTTTCTAAGCTCACAGCTGGTTTAATTGATTCCCCTGTCCTACTTGCAAAAGTGATCTTTCGGGTGCGTACTTGTTCAACTCGTAACACTGCCCCTTTTCTCATTCCTCTTTCCTCTTCTAACTATATATTCCATTCCGCTCTCCCACGTAATGCGCACTGAAAATAATGACGCTGATTTTTTGTACTCTTTTCATTTTTAATTTAGTCATTTAGCTATTTTATTTAAGATTTAAATTTTGATCATGTTTTATATTTCGTATTTGTCTTAATTAAAATATGTTTTGCGTTTATTTTTATTTTTTCTTTACTAAGTATATCTTTGTTTAATTATGTTCATATTTATAAGTTTATATGGTAATTTTAAGTTTAATTTGATGTAAAATACATATTGTTTCTTTTAAGGCTATTTCCCATAATTTTAATGATAAATAAATAAATAATACAAGTATTACAATGTAATAATTATAGAACAATTACGACACCAGCTACATATGAAAACCTAAAGATTACAATTGATTTAATCAAATTCATGATTTAAACCATTATTTATTACTTGTAAATTATTTTTAATTCCAACATAAAATCATTTTATTTTTTATTTTACAAGCTAAACATTTTTTTTATCGATAATTTTGTAAACAAAAAGTATAAATTAATATTTTGAAACAATAAAACAAAAATTATATTTGAATATTTTATTGATTTAATTATTATTGATATGTATGCATCTACCAACATATAGATAAATGGTACTTTCAATTTTGTAATCTTTTTTTAACTTAAATAAAAATTGCATTGAAAATATTATTGTAAAATTACTACAGTAAATAAAATCAATATTATCTGCAATATAGATTTTACTCTAGTAGAGCACTAGAAATACAACATTATACACTTTAATTTACTAACACTATTTTCCTTCTTTATGTTTGGTCTATTTACTACAAAGAAAAAAAATTGAACCACCAATAAAAATCGTGAAACTTAGAAGAAAAAGTTTCAATAAAAACATTTTCTTTTGCATAAATGTTTTCAGATACTATTGGTAAATGTAGTACCTACTTTTTAAGGAGAGAAAATAATTAAATTATATATTAGATGGAATTATACCTTTTTGTTGTGGCTGTTTGGACATTTAATATACTTTACTAGATTATTTATACTATATAGTATTATAACCTTTTAGTATACCCTAATTTTAAGTACAAATCTAACTCTGTACGCACCTTTATTTTACTTGAGCATCAATTATTTTTTATAAAGTGCAATGGAATTAGTTTTGTGATTCTCCTTATTCATTTATTCATTGAAATTAAACAATTTATTTATTAGAAAAATATTGTTTATTTTAAATGTAAAAAGTGATATAGGTAGATTACCTGTTGTACCACCAATACTATATTTATTAGCATCTGATTTTTTATTGAGCTATCATTCACTAAATCATAAGACATATAAACTATTATTTTACTATATTATGAAATAAATAATTATATTTCACCTCATTTGAGAATTTATAATTATTGTAAGCAGTGTCATTCATATTTTTAGAAGGACATTGGGACATTTGTACAAGGCACACAGGAAAAGGGCCCATTGGCAAATAATAGCTGTATATAATTCATAAAAATTTAAAAAGGAATTGTATTTAGTCGATTATTAACAAAAATAGGTTAAAAATTACATTAAAAACAAAATTGATATAATAGCTAACAAATGTTTTGATAGCACTATTGTCAAGTTTTTTTGATAAAAAATAAAAAAATTTTAAAAAACATTTCGATATACATAAATTGTAATTCATCTTTTAAAATTACTCTTAAATTATATGAAAGATTATTTATTATTTAATGAATTTCGTTTAAAAACTATTTAAGTGAATATCATCATTACTTTAGATACAATTACATTTGTTTTGCTTATAACAATTATGTCATATAAATGTTATATTTAATAATATGTAATATTTTATGTAATGTTATATTGATGCCCGTCATTGGCATCAACTTGGCAAGTTTATATGCGATCCTCTTTTAAATTTACTATTGTCTATCAAAAAAAAAAACAGCCTTTCTTATTTAACTTTAAAATGGCCTTTAATTTATTTTTAATTTTCAGCGTGTTATCTTAGTAGACGTGTGTGAGGGGTAATTAAAAGAGTGCCTAATTGATTTACCTTTTTTTTTTTTTTTTATTGAATGATGGCTTCAATATAAGTATTTATTTATTTCAACTTGAAAATAGTTTTTAAAATTGTTATTATTTAAAATACTATAATCCCGTTTTTTAAAGATGTCTCGTTTATTTTACTTTAATGACTTAAAATTATCAAAAAAAAAAAACAAAAAATTTAAATGACTTATTGAAAATGATTTTATATTAATGACTTAAATGAAAGTTCACGTGTCTCGAAAGTTTTTGTACGCCTAATGAAAAGAACGTCTGTACACGATTTTTTGTTTATTTTCATACCTTCATTTTTATTAATCTCTTCACAAAAAAAAGAAAAGAAATGTATTTTGTATTTTAAATTAAAAAATAGTTCAGTTCTATTTCAACAGGCTAAGTACACTTAAAAAATTAATCTTTGCTGATTCAGTATCAGTTTTTAACAATACATCTAACATCGCTTTGCTTTATATAGCGAAATGTTTTTCTCTTGGGTACCCTGACGACAGTCATTCCCTTGTCCCACTTTACAAGTGTCGTACGCACTTCCTTCGTAACGATTCGATATTTTTAACAATAAGAGCTCACTTAACTTTTTATGCTCGTTCCAAATTTACGTGTACTTGTAAAACTATTAACAGCTAAAGAACTCCAAGTATAAACGTTGTTATCTTGTATTTAAATATTCTATTTAATCAATTTAAAAAAGTATTACTACAATTTTTCGTGTAAACTTCACATTGTTTCACTATTAAGTTAAAACGTGACTATAAAATGTGTAAACCTTAATAAACATACAGAAACGTCAGTGCATAAAATATATTTTTAAATTATTAAAAAAAATAAACAATTTAAATAATATAAAAAAATTATTTTAATTTTAATTTTTTTTTTCTTAGTACATTTAATCTATTAAAATATTTATAACTATTAAATAACTACAAACACTTATTTTTATTTCATTAAAACGCCATAACAAACATGCGAATAATAAAAATAAAACAAACTAAAATTTAGCAAAAATATATTTTTTTTACAAACACAAGAATTTCAAATAGTAACCCATAGAAAATAAAATACAACACATTAGTTATCATTCAATTTTGTTTCTGTTTACCATTGTAGTGATTCCTTATATCGCTGATGGCGAGGAACCGATAGTCCACGATGATAACAACAGGGTGCGAGCGTGACAGTAACGGCCGAGTGTGTGGTGCAAGAGCGAGGGAGAAAGATTGAGCGTGGCAAAGCACAGTCCGTTAGTAAAGGTATTATGTGTGGTGTGTGCTGATGATAAGCGGCGTCGTAGTACTACGAGCGTCTAGTGACCGGACGCTGGTATTTGTGGGTACCCTTGTCGCCAAGGCGACGCCGGGGCGTCTGTACCGATACGACCTTGGCCAGGATTGATTGCGACCGTATTCGTCTCTAACACTCAGCATCCTTTAAAAATCCCCCTGACCGGTCGTTCCTAAGTATTCACTTTTCTGGGACTCTCTTCAATTCGATCCACGCGAAAGCTCATTTCAAAGGACAATCAATCACGTCCTCACCGTAAATTAGGCGAACGCAAATTCAACCATTTTAGCGGCTGCGTGACGAGTTTTATTTTAAATAGAGTTGTTCGTTTAAAGCACCAAAAATGTCTAAATTTAGATTGTTCTTTTAAACTGGGACTTTTAACGTTTTAAACTATTTGCTTATGTTTTAAACAGATTTTCTTTTAAACATATTCTTAAAAACCCTGATTTTAAAGATTTGCTATGATTCGGTGCAATGTATAAAATAACCGAACGAATTTGTAATTCATTTTTTTATATAGAAATATATTATCATTTCAAATTATGCAACAACCACAAGTTATAATGATTATAATATTATAATAGATAAAAAGTTCATGATTTCATTATTACTGTGAATGAATTGGGTGATTGATTATATCAGTTGACCAGGTAATTATGTATATCCAGACCCATTGTTATAATTTTGATTTGGAGAAACAAAAATGAAATTAAAGTGACTGGCTTAGACCATATAATTTTTCAGAATTATTCTTTAATCTAAAATGTTGAGTATTATCCATTTCTTTTCATACATATGACCATTTTTGTCTTTCGAATTCCAAGAAAGATAATCTATAATCAAAAGTCGTTCATTGTCATTTGGCTGTGTGATACAGAAGTGTTAAATGTTTACCTTCGCAGAAAACTCGTAATTGATTTCTTCCTCGTTGATTTCTATCTTAAATATTTTATTAAATATTAATAATTTTTTAGTCTATTTACTGGGTCAAAATTGTAAATTAAATAGTTATTATCACAAAATATAAAACAGTGAAAAATCTTGTGCATAAATTTTTTTGTAATCAGTAGTTTAGTTTTTAATTAATTTAATTTAACGACTGCAGTTTTAAACATATTTATGCACACTTCCCGTTCTTATTTTATTTTTAAAACAAATAATATGAGACGGCATAATTAAACCATTTCTATTAATTTTAGTTAAACTGCATAACTATTATTTTATAATTGTTAACTTACCAGAGTATACAATTTAAATTCTATTTTATTAATTAATTAATTTCAAGGAGTACGATACTAAATTTATTATTATTTTATCTCATTAAAATACTTAAATTACTTTTAGTATTTTTACTGTTATTACAATTTGTATATACATTTACTTAAACTTGGAGATATCAAGACGTGTCCCCTTCTAATATTTATGTACTATATATTTAATCACGCATTTATTTTCATTAATCTGTTATAAATGTTTAAGTACTTTATTATTCACATTTAAATTAAAAAATATAAAATCATGTATCTTATATTGACCAGTAGGAGTATCGTAGTAATTATTTTCAGTAGTTAATTTGAAGTTATAATTAAAAGTCTATTGAAACAGTAAAATATGCATAATACCAGTTGCGAATCTCGGGGTTAAAGGACCTGAGCCTCCTATAGGTCTCTTTAAACCTACATATAACTGTAAATACATTTTTTAGTGTTTAGTCCTTTTAATTAAAAAGTTTGGATACACCACTGGATTCTTCAAATTATCATTTAAAAACTTGCGTTGATATATCAAAAAGTATAATGAATATTTATTTTAATTTATAAATATGTTATAACTATTGAAAGAAAAATTTCATTTTATTTTATATTTATAAAAAGATTACATAAAGTCTAATTTATTTACCAATTTTTTTGAGGGGAACGTAATAAATAAATAAATCAATTCTCCTATTTATCTTAATGTACATATATATATATTTTTTAATGTTGGTGAGTTAACTTTTTATAATATCACCCTCTACCCTAAGAGACTTTACCCTAAGGTAAAGTCTCGAATACGCCACTGCATTATGATTTCATTATGTTTCATAATAGATTATATTTATGGGAAAAGGCAAATTTTTGCTTATCATTTGTAAATGGGTATATTTTTATATTTGTAATAAGTAAATTTGTCATTACACAAATTGATTTGTCGTTCTATATTAACTATTCTAAGATAAAATTATTCATTATGGCACGCAAAATCTTATACATATATATATATATGATATATATACCCTTATTTGAATTATGTTTAATACTAACAAAACTGTTATATAACTCAAGTATTAGCATAATATGAACATTTTTTTTTGTAATCTTATTGATTACTTTCGGCTTATAAATCTTTCAAATTTTTAACAAAAAAAACTTATTATTTTGAATTGTTTAAAATTAAATTTTTTTTTAATTAATTTGGAAATTTAAAATTATTATGAGTTTTGTTAGTTATGATGTATACATTTTTTTTATCGATGAAATTTATAGTTTACTTTTAGCTTCGATGCGAAGCTGAGAAGGTATTGGTTTTACTAAGATGTGTTTTTTTTTTTTTGTGTCTGTTACCACTTTTTCTCAGCTCTCACCGAACCGATTTCTTTCAATGATACGTCAAAAGATCACAAATCGTATCTAGTCGAAGACATTACCCTTAAAAATTGAAAAAAATTCCCTCGTTCCCCGTAAATGGGGGAAACCTCCAAAAAAATTACGAATTTAAAAATCGCTAATTTTCGAAATTTTTTCAATTTTTTTTACTTAAAAGTGCCATAACTTTTTCAAAAATAAACATATCAATATAATTCTTTTTTATATAGATGCATAATATCATTACCTTTCATTTGGTATATTTTTTTCATAAATTTAACCCTTAACCTGCCCACAAGGGGGGATTTAAAATGACAACTTTTTCACAAAAAATTAATTTTTTTAACTTAAATTTTGAAAATGTTCCGGAAGGTCTGACACTTTTATATATATCTTAAATTAAAGCTAATGTAATATACTTTATCATGGAAAAAAAAAATTTCGGACTTTATTTTATCTTCAAGGTGAAAATGGCTACCAAATGCTATTATTGTGTGAAAATTCTCAATTTTATTTTTTACATTTTTAACATTATAATGCTATAACTTATTGAAAAGTGTATTGATCAATATAATTTTTTTATGGGAAATACTATTTTCTAATAATCTCTTTTTTATTCGACATACTTTGTCTTAATCAGGATATTAATAAGGAACTAGCAGTTTATGAAGCTTTTGGAATAATCCACCAATTTTTTAAAATTAAACACTATCTAAAGATTTGCATCGAAGCGTTTTTTTTTGATAGTGATTTTAATCACTGTCAGATATCATTATACTTGATCCAACTATACCACGTCACCACTGTGCCGCGACCCCCCTGTGCTGGATTTTTTTTTAAAACTATACATTAATAATAAACTTAATTTGATTGTTTACTTCATATATATGTTGGTAGATATGTTTTATTATTAAATTCCCATTTTACTTTAGGGTTTTAAAATATGTCTATGCTTTTATACACTAATAATGCATTATAAGTATAAAGATTTAGCTATAAAGAATAAAATGAATTATTTGTAAATTTAATTGGTTTTTGACAGTTTATATGAGAAAATCCTGCAATTTATAACAGGGTATATATTCTAAAAAAAGTAAAAAAATATACACTAATGATTATAGAAATATTCAGTCAAATTTTAAAATATTTATTTATTTATTTATTTATTAACGCCCGAAGGCATGAGAATGTACAAAAGTTTAATTTATAATAATCTTAACATTTAAAATAAGTAATATAAAATAGATTTTTAAATACATCGATACAATTATACTAATAGATATAAAGGTAATACATTATAAAATAAAATTAACTATAATATAAAATATAATTATGTATCAAAACCCATACACAAATGACGAAATACAAATAATAAAGATATAATTTTGTGAAACATTTAAACTCTTTATGTGTATTTTATTTTTACAAATAAATAAAAAATATATTATGTCTTCTTAATATGTACATAAAAATATACTTCTATAGATAAAATTAAAGAGAAATTTTAACTATTTAGACAATATAATTGCGTTCTCAAGGGACCACATATTTTTTTCAATCCAAAAACATACATATAGAGATCTTCGTTCATGATATGTAATAAACAATTAAAACATGTGTAAAAGTCAGAATGTTTATCCTCATAGGATCATAGGAACTACGACAAATTGATTTTTGAAGACATTTGATTTTGTTCATTGTCCTTATAGCTTAAAATTATACGTTGTGTATAATTTACAAAGTATACTTATTTAACTACATAAAATACCAAGCATTTCCTTTCTAAATAAATATCTCTTGTATTGAGAGAAAATTTGTATTCTTTGAATTTTTTTTACAAATGTATTTTAATTATATCTTTATTATTTGTACAACAGTTAATTTTTCAATTTTATTTTCATAATTTGATAAATAGATTTATTTGAACTGTTTAACATTTTTATTTAAATATTTATTTTATGTTTCTATTGTTCATTAAATTGTTTTAATATTTGAAAAAAATGATTAAGAATCAATGTTTTATCTATTTTGTATTAGGCGAGATGATTTGTTAATCACAATGGTTTGCAATTAGCTATAATCATTTTTTAATTTATTTCAATATACTTTTTTATTATTAAATATTAAAGGAAAAAAAACTGTGTTAGTATTATGTTTGTTTTTTATTGAAAATTAAACAAAATTCATGTAGAAGAATATAATATAGTTTAACTAATTAGTCGGAACGTCGAAAATGTCTCAAAAATGTTAAGATGTTTTTTCAAAGTTTAGAAAGTGAATTTTTGAAATTGGAATTCTATTGTTTTATTGTAGTTCAGTTTAATAGATTGAACAAATATATTAATAATTTTATGAATTTATAATTTTATTTATTTATGTATAATATACGAGTGTTAACCCTTTAACAATTAGAATATTTATAAGTACAGTAAAAATCAATAATAACATAAACAGTTACAAAAAAAGAAATAATAATGACATGTTTGTAGTGAATAAAAAATATAATAAAATATAAAAATAATAAATTATACAAGAGAATTTGAATTTAAATTTAAAGCCAAATAAACATTCTGTCTGAATACAAAACGTGACATAGAAAAAAAATCGATATGATCCATAATTCTGTTAGCCAAAGATAGAGCTCTTGGGAAAAACGAGGAGGAAGTATAAATATTTTTAGGAAGAGAAATATGAAAAAAATTAGATTTTCTTATTAGATTATGCAGCTAAATTATGATAATTCCTTCACAAAGAACATGGATAAGGCAGATCTGTATATTTAAAAATAAATTAATAGGTTTTCTTTAGATTGGTGGATATTTAAAAAAATTTAACACTTGTAGTGTTAATTTGATTATAATGCATCATACACGCCGACGATAAAAATGTCAAAGTGATGACCTTGAGTATGAAAAAGAGCCACGAGATTAGAGTTTAGCTGCAAAGTTTAAACCGTTGTCGTTGACCTGTTGATAGATTCTGGAATTTGAGACGGGGCGGAAGCATCTGTTGTGCTGGTGTGAACATCTGTTAGGGAAGAATATAGCTTTCCCTTCCGTACTTTTCATGGCTCAATCGATTTTTCTTAAACTGGGTTGCTTAAAAATCGACCGATTAAAAGTGTAAACCTGATTAATGAAAACCAAACAATTTATCTAGTCTATTTGTTTATAAACTTATAATGAAAATGCAAAATTTTTTGATTTTTCATTTGCTGACTTGATAAGTCAATAAAATTTTATTTCAGTTTTTTCTATTTTGAGAAATACCTGTTTTACAAAAACTTTGCTCTTGTTACGTTTTTAATTAAATCTTGTAGTATTTTATTTAATAAGATTACCATAAACCCTCATTAAACAATAGTATGAACTTAAAAGAAATTGGTTCCGTTTCAAAAATAAATAATTTTATTGCAATATCCTGACACCAAAGTTGCGTATCCATGACGTCATAATTTATCTGTTATCATATTTTGTATAATGAACAATGATATAAATATACCACACAACACTCATGGTGAAAGGAAAATAATATTTGTTGCTTTTTAAGAATAAATTACTTATTTTACTTTAAGTTATATTACTTATAATTATATTATAAACAATTATAAGTTAAAAATATTTTATTTATTTATTTCATGTGATGTATACTATTCAACTTATAATACTTAGTCTGTGTATAATTAACATAGAAAAACTGAACAGGGAAATCCAACAATACAGGAATATATTAATGGTGTTTGAAATTTTAATCAGTACAAAAAAAAATTTAATATAGCACATCAAACTAGAGATGTGCTATATTAGCACATGGATGTTAGATAAACATCCAAAGTATTTATTATTTTCATATATTAGTTTTATTAGTGATAAAACTTTTAAGACTTAATAATCTATAACAAACATTTATAAGTCATCATCATGTTAATAATTAATGAAACTTTTAATTTTAATAGTGAAGACTGTAATAAAACCAATGTTTTACTACATTTAAAACAAGTACTAAAAACTATTTTCGTTGAAAAGTTTAAAAATTGGAAATTTTACAAGAAAAAGATCAATGTCAGTTTGTAAAAAAAGTATCATCAAATAAAATTGGCAATAAAAAATATATTATAAATTAACTGATAATTAAATATATTGTCATGTAAGAATATATTGAATACTGAACACTTATTTTAGACATTTATTATTTTATTTAAGTATATATAAAAATATATTTCATAGCATTATAATTCTATTAATTTTTTGACTTTAAATAAGTATGAACCTTTGAACAAAAATGCTAAAAAAACCCATTTTTATTTTGAATAATAGCAAATTTTATGTACAACGATATTCTCAACTTCCAAAATTAGAAAATAATTATTCTCTTTCTATTACAATTGTAGCGACCAAAACATACGCAACGAATATTCTCGAATGTTCTCGTTATCAAAAACCTTCGAGAAACTTCGATAACGCCATAAGATAACCTACGCGGGTATAGAATATTCTAGAATTAGCGAGAGCCTTATCGGAGCTATATATATATCGGAAGAATCAGTCAGTCAGTTAGTTCAGTTCAGACTGTCTAGTCCGCGATACGCTACACGACCGCTACACTCCGCCGCTGTTGTCATCGTGTATTATGTTTACTTCGATTATTTTATTTTTCCTTACTGTATATACATATATTTTCTTTTAGTGTTTATACGTCTATTTTAGTGTTATAATTTTGTTTAATAAAAGTCTACCGCCATTTAAATAATTGTGTGTTGTAAGATATAACCCACACAATAAATGGTCTATATAAAAAATAATAATAATAATATTAGTGGGCTAGTATCATTTTTTTTTGTAAAGAAAAATAGATAAAATTAATAATAAGTCATTTATTTTATTCTAGAAGAATATTTTATAAGTTTATTTATTCTAAAATAAAGTAGAAATATTGTACACACTACAAAAGGGATGTATATTTTTCTTATCTTTCTATTTGAATTTAATACTTATATATTTTGGTAAGTATATGATATATATCATTTTAATCAAGTTTTACACATATATTATACCTAATAATGCAGTTTTTATACATTATATGTGTAAATACATAATACTTGTTAGATTAATATATGTAATAAGATTAGACTAATAAAAAAACTCAAATTAAATTGTTTGAATGTATTTAAAATATTTATTAACCGATTTCTAGATAAATTAGCAATAGGTCAGTTAAAAAAATGTTTGACGATTTTTAAAAAATAATTTAGAAAAAACATAGAGTATACATCTTTTAGAAAAAAGACTTGCATAATATACACAGAAATTATGATAAATCATACTTAACTAATAAACATGAAAATGATTCTTTGTGTAAAATTTTGGGTTGAACTTAAAAATATTAAAGGTGTATAAAATCCTGTATAAAAATATTAATATAACGCGTTTTTCCAAAAAATGCTTTTGTATCATATTAATGACTCAATATCAAAAAAATGTATTTCTACAATGATGCTTAAAACATAAATACAACAGAGAGTGATCATTTATACTGTGTAAAAAAAAATAACAACTAAAAACTCTTTGTAAGTTATAAATTATATATTTATTTTTACATATTTTTTAAATGTTATTTAAAAGTAATAGATAATTTGTAAAGTATACTGTAATGATTATTTTACTATTAATAAAATATGTTAACTTTGATTATAATATCTATATAAAAGTAGTCTATTGATAACATAAATAATGATAAAAGGGAAATTATGACGTCATGGTTCCGCCAGATTTTTCTTATGAAGATCAATTTGTATATTTTTCAAGGTCACTTCGTATTGTGTAGTTATCATTTTATCATTCTTATTAGTAATATCAAAAGAATATTTTATATAACTTTCTTCTACTCTAATTTTTCTCGTTTTTAAATGATAATTAAATTCTAATTTTTGACAGATTTGAAATTTATTTATTAAATAATAAGTAATGAATACAATTTTTTCAAAATTCGTGGGTGTCAAATTTAAAATGTAAAAATATTTTTACTATCCTTGTTTATTTCTTATATTTAAAAACAATGACTAATACCATTCTTGTGTCTCCTGTATTCAGAATTTCTTGCTTATTTTTAAAAAAATTATCTCTTCGATACCTGTAAGTTATTAAATAAGTATTAATATTTATATAAACGATAGTATATTGTTGAGAAAGACCATTGTTCTATTAAAATACTTGTTTTATGTAATTAAGATAATTTACAAATTACTTGGTAGTTTAATAATAAAATACTTGAAAATTACTTAATGTATCTTTTAATGAAGTTACTTTTTTAATAAAAAGTAACTTAATTACAATAGAAGTTACTTTAGAAAACCATATTTAAAAAAATATTACAATTAAACAGATATAATGTGGTCTTCACTATAAGAATCCAAGAGATGTGTTTACCTGGAATTCTAATATTAAAGAAGAAGAAGAAGATAAAAATTACCCATAATTTTATACAATGTAGAGAGGGTAAAGAATTTTTATTAATGAATAACTTCTATGATTAAATCTTTAATATCTTACTGAAGGAAAATATAAACTTTTAAAATATAATACTCATAATTAAATTATAAGTAATTTGTTAAAAATACTTTTAAATAATTATTTAATTTTTATTTCAATAGTGTAAGAGTAACAGTTATGACCACCTAAGGACCTATTGTGGTCACTTGATATTTAATATAATATCAACTTAGTTTTTACTAATAGTTATTAGAATAAATTAATTTTTAATATCATAATTATGAGTTTTAAATCATATTGGTTCAAAAACTTTTTAAAATGAATAAAATTAATTTGGGCCATTAGTGGTACATATAAAAAGCCCTAATGCATTTACCCTAATTATTGACTTAACTAAAATTACTTAAACAATAGTTTTGTTACAGTAATTAATTCTTTAAGTTAAGTTACTATTTAAGACTTGGTTCATTAATGTATTGTTAAATTTAAGAGTAGTAAACTTACACAATTTTTTGTTATATGTAGAGAAATGTTATTATATATATATATATTATAATATTGAAAGCATATAGTATTAAGTAATACAAGAACCTCAAGTTGAAAAAAAAAATCATTCTTTTTGAACTTTGACTTATCGAAGTTCTACTGTATTTTATTTTTTATTAAATGATATATTGCTTAATGTGTTCATTTTGTATTATTTTTTATTAAAAATAGTTATTGATTAATTTTAGATCTTCTAAAAAACCATTGATATCACATTATGAAGTTCTTAATCTTAAACAAGAATGTTCTAAGACAGAAATTCGTAATGCGTTTCTAAAACTGTCCAAATTGGTAAGTTATTAAGAGTATATACTTTTAGATCCAGTATTTAAGAATATTTCTTATTGGCACTTCATAAAAATAATTTTATTGTAAATGTAGTTATATTATTATTATTTATATTAACATCTTCATACAAATAATTATCATCATATCGCTGAATATTTTTTCTTAACTTGCATTTAAAATTAATTACATGTTTATAATACTTACATAACTAAGTTATATTTTTATTTTTAATAAAAGTAATGTGTTATAGAATCATCCTGATATTTGTGGTCCATCTTCTAGTGCTAAATTTGTTCTTATAAATGAAGCATACAATGTATTAATCAATAATGAAAAGCGGAAGCAATATGATGAAACTTTAGTTTATGCCAATAGTAGAAACTCAGTTTATCATCATTATCCACAAAATCAACCTAAGTATATATTTAAATATGTATAATATAGTTAAAAATTATTTTTTTCAAAACTTCAAATTGGCCATTTTTTAAACTTTTTATTACAATAAATTTTAATGGGTTAATAACAATTTTAGTATGAGTACTTATTGTGTTACAAACATTTTCATGCATGAGTTGTAAGAGTAGTAAGAGTTGTACCCACCAAGTTATTAAAGATATCAGAATTTGGTGTGATACTTTGTATATATATGTGCCAAATGTAAATAAACACAAATAATATTTTCTTTAGAAATTTGATTATCCTAACTTAATAATAAAAATTTTTTCTGTAATAACTATATACTCCAAGTTAATATGACGTAATATTATAGTAAGTAGGTGTAACACCCTTTTCACATTATTAAGGGTCAGTAGAAACTCAATTAATCATTATTATAGAGATCCGGACTGTAATATTTAATAAATTAGATGCTGAACAGAAAATTTTAAAATAAACGTACATTTACAAATTTTTAAAAATAAAATAATATATTTTAGGTTAATAATAATTGTTGAATTGCACAAAATAATTAGAAATCTTTTTCTATTTTTTCATGAATTAAGATAATTCAATGATTATTTTTTCCTATTGCATGGAAAAGTAAAAATTACATTTATAATTAAAATTAACAATAAGTAATGGTAAATATGAGGGTTTATTGAGTTTCCATCGTATATATATTTGTATTTAAAAAAAATTATGAGTCAATTAATATTAATACTCCCAAACAAATGCAACCAAAAAATTTAACAATTAACTATAAAAATATAATTTAATTTAGAAAAAATTGGAAAGAATCATATGATGATCCTGATAATTACTGGCTTTCATCTAATATAACACTTGCAAGTGTTTTTATTGCAATAATAGTTGTTGGATCAGTTATTCGTTATTACGGTGCAAAGTAAGAAATCTTTTCATCTTATTTATAAATCTAATAGATAAATGTAATGTATAATCATTAAAATTTTAACATTATTTTCAGAAAGTCTTCTTTTATTAGAAGTGAATTTTTAAGGAAAACTGATGAACACTTATTATTTTTAGAAGAACAGAGGTTAATGAAAGGTAATAAAACTAATGAAGAACTACTACAAATTTTCAAAAATAATATAGCTAATGTAGATATTAAAAAATAATATAAGTACATAAAAAATATGGTGTTATGTTAAAATTAATTAATTTTATTTTTAAAAATTGTTATAAATTATCTTTTGATTAATTATTTTAACATAATTTAATGGTATTCAATATCAAAATAGACACACAGTATTAAAAATAAAAATTGTTTGACATGCAACTAAATGTGTTAGACTAACCGTCTTTTCTAGCACGAGGAATAGCTTTTAGATAAAATTATTAAAAACAAAAAATAGGCTAGTCTAATAAATTGAAGTTCACACCCTAATAAGGTATAAGCATAGAAGACAAACACAAATTAACGAACTAAGAAAAAAATGATCAATATTATTACATATTTGTAAATTCAATGTTACCATTTTATTTTTATATTTGCTTATTATATATTTGTTTTACTTCAATAAATTTTTATTAAAAATTTAAAATCTTATTTTACTAAAAATATTCTTGTAATCGAAATTAAGGTTAACTATTAATAATTACCAAAATGAAAAAATACTACTATAATTAATTATGGACTACATTTATTTTTAATATTAACAAAAATATAAAAATGTGACGTATAATTAATTAATTAAATAAAAAAGTTACACTTGTATATTGTATTTAGAAAAAATAATTGTTAAGTTATTTTAGACTTAAACAATTATTAATTGTTGATTTGTTTTTTTAAATAAATAAAGCTGTTGATTTAAAAAATTATATTTCATTTTTATTTAAATTGACTAGCTCTACACTCGGCAAAAAAATATTTTAATGCTTTTTTATTATTTTCTATTTTATTCTATTTGTTTTACTAACAATATCAAATTATACAATTTGTTGTTTTAATTAACTTAGTCAAAAATTTATTGTATTGTTGATAAATTTAAAAATCATTCATTGTAATAGACTTCAAACATAAACATAAAGCCAATAAATACAATTGAAAAAAAGAAAAGCTACTGGAAATGCAATTCGACTACGTCGATCAATCCATTGTGCAATTTCCTGTGGTGTCATTGTGAAAAATCCTCCGTTCTTTGAGTCTGTAAGACTGGGTACTGAAATGGAAATGTTTTGAATTGGCTCGGGATCAGCACTAATAATAGAATTATTAGATACTTCTACAGATAATAAACTTCTGTGTCTCCTCTTGAAAAGAAATTAATAGATTAATATTAAAATTATGGATATTTATAATTTGAAACAGCTCAGAGCAAAGAGTTGGTAAAAGTTCAAATTTTTTTTTAAGACTGCTAATGAGAATCATTTAGTTCTATAATTTGCTATAATGTATTAAAATGTTTTTAAAAAAAAATTATTTAAAATTTTCTAGTTTCCACTAATGTTGTGCTGAAAAAACTTTAGTAATTAAAACGCTATTTTCCTATTGGAAAACTTTGGCCGACATTTTAGAGAGTACATAAAAGTGGAATACCTAGTTAATTTATTGAACAAATGATTGTTTGTTTAATTAGAAAAAATTAACAAATAAGGGAAAGAGTTTCTCTCGCCTAAAATAAATAATTACAAATAACGCGAAATAAAGTGATGTTTAGTAGATATTAAGATTCGAATAAAATAAATTTTGCTTCACCGGAGTATTCGAACAAAGTGAATAATTTTTTATTTTTACTTTAAAAATGCTTGAACTTATTACAGATGATTATACAAAAAACTTCAACAGCGGAATTTAAACAATTATTACTTATTAAATGACGATTGACTACAATTTTTCGTACTTATTCTTTCTCCTAATCTTAACCTATTTGCATTGCCCGGGCTTCGCTAAGCAACAAATTTTTCATGAGTAATTGTTAATTTTAAACCTACACAATATCTATTATTCTCTTTACTATCACTTTCAATTGTTTTTGAAGAGCCAAATTTATCAATTCCACTATCCATCGATGAAGACTTTGATTTCCGTTTCATTTGAGGTGTTAGAGTTGATTTTAAAATATGTTTACTGGTAACTTTTTTTAATTCTACACTTTCACTGTTTAAAAAATAATTAATGTACATTATTATCTACAATTAAAAAGTAGTCATCAGTACTTCAATAAATACAAGGAACATTCGAAGCATTATCTCCGTTGAAGAATTATTATCATAATCTTAGGGCCTGATAACTTTTTTTGTACTCATTTATTTTGCGCCTCTTAGTTGTGACAGTGGTAGACACTTTTTGTTATATCTAATATTTTTTATTAGATATTATGCTTACTTTCGCCTCCAGATACTGTTAACAAAAGCAAACTCTACTAATGAACCAAATATAAACATAGTGCATACAATGAACCATATTTCTGTAGCTTTGATGTAGGAAACTTTTGGTAACGAGCTGCCTGTATTCCTGGATAGAGTGATGAATGTTAGCATTGTGCTAGTACCTGTATAGTTTATGCGATTGACTTAATTACCTATAATATTTATAATTTAAGTATAGATTTGATTAGCTACAAACCTAAGGTAGTACGACCAGGCACAGCATTAGGATCCAGCCAAAACGATACCCAAGAAACGACTACTAGCAAGATACTTGGAACGTAATAATCCATTATGTAATGACCTACTTCACGTTCTAGTTCAAAGTAAACCCTCAACTGGCTGTAATTACCAGCTTGAAGGAAAACATAATAAGAAATCGTTATAACTATATTTACTTACTAATAAATACATGATATATGTGAATTATTTGATTTTTTCGGTACCGAATTTCCCGTAATAATGAACATGTTCAATGGCTATTTGTGAATATAATGAATCGTCATCGTTACGTTCTTCATCTGAAGACATGAGTGAGTATTCGCTGATTGTAGCATTAGTCCAGATAGATACCAAATTGTATTCTGTCATTCGCAAATTACTATTGACTATAGCTGGAGAATCGCGTTCCCAAACTAGTTCTAAATGGGTGTTATTATACGACCCTAATTAAAATATTCATTAAAAATCAACCATTTAGATAAATCAAAAACGGTATAATATATCGGTAAATTGATTTAAACTTCATAACGTAGTATAACCAATAAAGATGGTTAATTTAATAATTTATCTACAATCTTACTTACAACTTTCTAAAATTAAAGGACAAGTTTGTTCGTCAAACGGAAATTTCTGTAAATTCATCATACAAAGTAGAGATACTTTTAATCTGAAATTAAAATTGATTGATCATGTTTGATTGTTTGTTTGTATCTTAATAAATCTAAGAAAATTAAATCCAGTTAATAAAATTACAATACCAACCTGGTTGAGTACAATACTGTGCCATCCGGTTGTACTGTGACTAGAATATCTTGACGGCCGGATCCCATTATATTTGAGTCATGTTCGTTTACTATATATACGTGTGGCGTCCATACGCGTTCTTTTAATTTGTTCTCGCCTTGTATGGGGAAAGTAGAAGAAGAATATACTAATCGACTATCGTACCATCGATATCGTATTAAAATATGAGTAGTGAACTGCTATATATGAAAAAAAAAAAACTAATATTTTATGTATTAAAAAATATATGATAGTTGAATATTTTTAAATAAAAAATATTTTCATTATTATTAAATAACCAATAAGTATCAGACTAAGATTCATGAGATGGGCTTCCTTAAACAAAGAGCTCTTTTAAACTATTACCACCAAGCGTTTTTTTATTAAACATTCAAACATCCAGGAAATCTTGAATAAAATTGAAAAATTTTTTTAGTTTTATTCAAAATCCCTATATAGACTTCAGTTATGCCGCGTTACTAAAAAATTCCAAACATATTAATTATATAAGTGATTCATTACTAACTAACCAGTTGCTGAGCTTCTACTGATCCTAAAAAATAAACATATACCCTAGCAGACACTCTCGTGGGTCCACTTCCATTTGCGGGCATAGGTCTTGTCAAACGATCATATCGACAAGGGTCTGTTAACCACATTAGCATTTCTACCTGACTATTTTCATTTGTAGATACATCGTCACCGCACGCTCTGTAATTTGAATTAATATTTATCATTAAATATTAATGAGTTCTTAGAATTAATTTTATTTCTAAGAATGTGGAATGATCAACACTTTTGTGATTGTATTATCTCTTATAATTTAATGGTTTTATTCATTTTTAAGTTAAAGTCGTCTTAGCTTATTTCCTTAGCTACTTCTCTAATTTCAAATAAATAAAATTATGTATAACCAAGGTCATTTTTCAATTAACGTATTGAGAGTAGGAACTACATACGTTAAGTATATAGTACAGAAATTACCGTGAATATTGAACAACAAACATCATAAGGCATTAATTGAAGACACCTAGGCTTGGCCAAGAAAATTTACAAAATTAGTTTTTAAACAAAACGTTGATATAATTTTTTTAATTAGTATGTATAGACGGTCAAAGCAGTGCTTTTGTTATGAGTTCCTATTTTTAGAACTGTTTTCTACAGTTGTTAATTTTCAGTTAGTAAGCTAACTATACATATTTTAACATAACTGCAAGATATATTGTTTACTTTTTTTCCAGTCTCTTTTACCGATTTATGTTATTATAAATAGTAGTATTGAGTACATAATAATATCCTTTATTCACTGATTTTTTTTTCTATTTTATGAAAAATAATTATGGAAATAGAAATTAAATATTGGTCTTGGCTCAATTTTTATCAACTTGTAGTATAAGTTTTCTATTACAATTCTATTTATTAAGTTCATTTTAAGGAATCGACGAGTCCATGAAGTTGTCTTGTATTAATTATCTTAACGTAACGTATATAATATCAAAAAGTCACTCATAATTGACTAAAGAAAATAATATTTATTTGGCCAATGAGGCGATTGTCAAACGCCTAAATTTCTAGTTTGTTTATCAACTTATTGTGCGTCACGACACTGGTGTTCCAGGGCATTTCCTGGTTAAAATCCCCTGAAATCAATCTAAACTAAAAAAAATAACTTGTTAACATACCAATGACGCCCAATATATTTTTTAAGAGGGACTATAGTTTCAACTCGTATTACTTTTTATTAAAGTTAAGTTAAATCTACTCAGTTTAAAAGCATTTGTTTCTCATTAGTCGCAAGGTTAAGGTTTAGTAAAATGTAATATTACTATTAACAACTCACGCTTGGATGGATCCAAAATGGTAAAATACCGTTATGTATAAAATAACAGCCGCTGTTAGCAGGTTTGATCCGCACAAGACTTCGATAGATGATCTACGATTCACGGAAACACCATTCAGAAATATCATGGTAAATCAACGTTTTTATGATGAAGTTGTAGCTGTAGATGACGTTACACCAAAAGCTCATTAAACGATTGATTCTCAGCTGATTCGTCAATTAAAAGTTCAAGCAAATATGTGTTATTTGAAATGGGATCATTAACGTGTCGTTTTTGTTTTCCGTTTCATTTGTCGCGTGTCGCTTGGCGTTTCGCGCGCGTTTGCGTATGCGCGAAACAACAGCGACTATTATCAAATCTAACGTATCATATCATAGTATTTGCAGCGGCAATATGTATTTGAGTGATTCAAACAATGAGAAAATCATGTGCATTTTCAGTTAAATCGAAATGTTTACTTTATACGTCAGTAGTTGCAATAAATTTACTTAATTAATAAAAAAAATCTAGAACGGCCCGCATACGAAAATTTGACAAACAAGTTTGTTCAAACAAGTGTTGCTCTGTTTTATACAGATGCCTACTCAAAAGACATTATATATATAATTATTGTATAAAATGGTATAGATAATAACGGCGGTGAAAACAATTGCAACCCAAACAACCATACACATTTAAATATTTAACGAACGATGATCAAGGTGTGTGAAAAACCAGCGTGACAACGGTAAAAAATGTTTTGTAACCATCTAAAATATGCGTATTGTGTTGAACAGAAAGAAAGAAGTAAAAACGTAATATAAAAACTTATTTGGAATGATTAGCCTACATTGATCACAATAAACAGTAAAATTTTGTAGAATAAATTTCATATAATGAATCTAACGTATTAAAATGAAAGAATAATGATTAGGTATATTTTATTCATTTTACTCTAAATAATTATAAGACATTTGACGAAAAACTCTACTTGTTTTTTACTATTTAGGCTTCAATGTGTAAAACAATTCAGTTTGTGATATCATATTTTAGAAAGGACAGATTATCTCTAGATTTTATGTTAATTGTATGTCATACAATTAACATAAATGAAATTTTATTACATGGTAATAAAATTACTAGGTAGTTTTTATGATAGATAATATAACTAATTTTTTATCACGGTTAGTATATATCTGTAAAATAATAACAAAGTCAATGTATACTCGTGTTTTACAGTAATCTTTTGTACACAAAACATAGTAAACAAAATACTCGTTATAATTTGTAAATAAAATTTAATCAAGTGATTTTTCATCTTAAACACACAATAAATGTTATAAGTTGAAACATATGATTATAACGAATACCACTTGTAGAATGAAATTAAAGATACAATCAAGTTCTTCTATAAATATTTTAACTATGTTCCTATGTGTAAATACTTGTAAACTCTGAGAAAGAAAAATCATATGACTACATTAAAAAATTATTTAATAATTATAACGTAGAATAAAGTGAACATTATTCATACAGTTGAACATTTTTTTATATATTTCGGGTAGTACCAAAATTTGAATGAGCTGGAAAAATATGATGAAAATAAATTAAGAAGTCTAATCTTAATTAAGTATAAAATATATGTTTATGTGAACAATTATTTTTATAGGTTTTCACAAACTCTCACAACACTTATAGATAATTCGTATCCTTACAACAGAGGCAGTTGTGTGTATCATATGTTTCAACTTATAACATTTATTGTGTGTTTAAGATGAAAAATCACTTGATTAAATTTTATTTACAAATTATAACGAGTATTTTGTTTACTATGTTTTGTGTACAAAAGATTACTGTAAAATACGAGTATACAAAACTTTTTTAAGGGGAAAAAAGTTTTTTTTAAGTCAAACTCAATTTTTTGTTTTATCATTCAAAAGATCTTTTGTATATGATTAGTTGCGTCCCCAAAATTTTTAAATGGGGATGTAATACAAAAAATATTAGTGACTTCTCTTAGGTAATTTTTTATCTAAAATATTGGTTAAACATAGCCAATAGGTAGCTTCGCCCTTTTTGCCCCCGGGATTTGTCATTGATTATAATGATTGTGTAATTTAATAATAATTAATTGAAATGTGAAGTTGGCGTCTTTGTTAGTTCATTTTTAATCATTACATAATTAAGAAAATTTTTTGATTATATCCTAGACACGAGAACTAACAAAAAATATGAGACGGCACATTAGCTATGCAATTTTAACACATAGCTGTGTGTATGACTACAGTGTTGATACGACGTAGTTAAATTTTAGGTCATGTTTTTAACATTTTTATGTTAAATCAGTTAATATTAATTTAGCTATTATACAATATCAAATACATTAATATGATACCATAACCGAATTCAACTTTAAATAAATTAAAAATAAGCTTAGTAAAAAAAAAAAGTAATAATACTTAGCACTACTACATATATATTTATATATATTTGAATAGTATAAAAATACTATAAAGTATTATATAAATTATTACGAATAAAAATTCATAATACTTTTTAAATGCCTATTAAATGGCTTAAAATTGTCTTAATAAAATCGATGATCCATAGTTGAAAAAATTATGTTAAACTATTATTAGCTAGTATTTTACTTTATAAAAGAAAATTTTTTCAATTAGTAGAATATAAAAAAACTTCATTTTTGCATGATTTACGATTACAAACTCGACTTATGTTATATATACTGCGGAAAACTGCATTTATATCTTCACGACCTTATTAATCATGCATGACAATAATTTGAAGACTTTAATCTTCAATATAAAACAACCTAATGGTTTATTAATTAATGTAGAATAATTTGTGAATTAGTAGTAAGAACACATGAATAGCTTGTCCCCGTTATTTTTATTATAAGATAAATCTAGCCACATCATCATAAACGTGACCACTTTTTCTTCAATCAATATATTTATTATTTCTTTAAAGTTTGATTTTTTTAATTTTGAAATTATTTTAATTAAAAACGAAAGTAAAAAATTTGAACTAGTAATTATTAAATTATATTGATTTTTTTAAAAATTTAATTTCAGTTTAACATGAATTTTGATGTAGATCTTTTCTCTAGAACAAAATGGTGATAAACTGATAATACTGTTAGTATACTATACGTAATATCCAACAGGTTAAATTGATAGAATGTCATATCATATTTATTGTACTCACTAAACTATTATTTTCGCAAAAATTATATCGTGTATTGTAGGTGGAATTTATGTTAAAATTTAAATGTATTTAAACGAAGATTGTTAAAATATTTAGTTTTTTGTTGTTTAATTAAAAAATCTTTTTAAGTTATGGTGAGTAGTTTGGTAAACATATTTCTGAATTAATTTTTATTTTTAATGTGTACTTTTATAGGAAAGCTCNTTTTTAACCATAACTTTTTAAGTTATGGTGAGTAGTTTGGTAAACATATTTCTGAATTAATTTTTATTTTTAATGTGTACTTTTATAGGAAAGCTCTATTCCAATTGAAATTCATGCTCAAAAGCTGATTGAATGGCTTTTGAGTAGAAAACATTGTAAGAAAGATTGGCATAAATATGTACAACCTATAAGAGAGAAAATAAATATGGCTATTCAAGATATGCCAGAACATAAAGAAATAGTTAAATTACTGTCAGGAACATGTAAGATATTTAAAAATAATTTTTGAATCAATTAATGCTATATATATTTTTTATTATGTAGATATAAATTATTTTCATTGTAAACACATTATTGAAATACTTAAGGAAACAGAAGCTGATTCAAAAAATTTATTTGGATCATACGGTTCTAAAAGGATGAAAGACTGGCAAGAAATTGAGCGGCTTTATTTAAAAGACAATGTTTATTTAGCTGAAGCAGCTGATCTAATGGTTCAAAATATCAAGTATCACATACCAGCTATGAAAAAACAAATAGCCAAAACACAATCAGGGCAGGCTGTAAGTAATTTTGCTGTTGTTAAAAAAATGAACACTTATACCTGTGTATTCCTAATATATTTTCACTTATAATTGTTTATTTTACAGGACTGTGATAAAAAAATTGAAGACTATTCTAAAAGTATTCAGACATGTAAAAAGGATTTGGAAACATTGCGTAAACAATTTTCTATTGTTGGTGATAATATTAAACGGACACTTGTAGATAAATTAAAAGATCTTTCTGAAATTTATAAAGATGTTGTTGATAATGCAAAAAGATTAAAGAAAGGAAATATTTATTTTTCTAAATTTGTAACTCATATTTCAGGAACAGATACTAATTTACCAATGCTACAATATATTATAAGTACCTAAATAAATTATATAATATTTTATAAGATTATTATTTAGTTGTTAAATCTTAGGTAATGGTAATACGACATACTATGAATATTTGTATGGCGAAGAGCCAAGCAAAATAGAAGAACCAGTCATTAATATGGATGATACTAACCAGGTAAATAATGTTTGATTTGAAACTTAAAAGAAAAAAGTTTAATCTATATTATACCTTGCTTTTAGGATTCTACTGTTGATGATGAAGAAATTGATTGGGGTGATTTAAACGACCCATCTGAAGTAAGTATTATACATTTTATTTAAAAACAAATTTCTCATGAAGCTGTTATTAAAAAAATTGAATTTAATAAGAATTATTGTAAATTTAAGGGCTTAATATAACAACCATTCAGGTTTAATTTTTTGTTAGTTATTAATAAATATATATTTTTTGCTTAATGCAGTATAGAAATTGATTTTCAATTTTTAGTGGAGATATTTAATTTCAAAAAACCTTATATCATTGCTTTTAATAAAAAAAATTCTGTTAATTGCTTCAAACAAATTACCTGGTTGTTACTCTAGGCCCTTCAATTGTTGTTAATTATAGAAATAAACAAATCTAATCTCCGATCAACATTGTAAAAAAAATTAATTAGCCTTCAATAGATCATATAAAAATATTTTAATTAAAATTACAAATTCTCTTTAAAAGATCATTCCAGTATGATCAATATAAAAGGGTCTTCTAATTATATTGGATTGTAAAATTGACATTTTGGCTTGCTTTATTATATTAATTTTATTTTAGGCTGTGGATTATGGTATAACATTAGAAGAAAGTGGAATAATAGTTGAAAGTCCCCAGATAGATGGTAATGTGGCTAGAGGCAATGAAGCATTAACAATTTTGGACAATTATAAAACAAGAAATGAATTCATGAATGATATATTAGAGGCAACTAAAAATTCATTAAACACATATTTTTAGCTCTAATAAAATCCTAAAAAATGATTTTTAATTTTTCAGTTGGGATCATTTTTGAGCATGAGATTGTTAGAGCTATCTCATGAATCTAATTCTATGCTCTCTGTTCAACTTGGAGGTGAATTAAATGAATCAAAAACTGAAATAGCAGCTATGTTAGACATAACTAAGTTCATTAAACAAAGAATTAATGATCCTATTGTTCAACATCTTTTACACTTAAAACACTCCCCAAAGTAATACTTATAAATGTATTATTAAATACTGCTAACTATAATGTCTTTTTAATGTATTAGATATTTAAATAAACTAGAATCACTGTTCAGTCAAAAAATAAATAATATTGAAAAAATGATTAACTCACAAATTGCTGTAACCAATAAGAAACAAGAATTAGCTAATGAACATTCATGTCTAGTTCCAAAATTGAAATTAATTCAACAAAAAAATAAGGAACTTATAAAAGAAGTAAATATTATAATTAAAATTTTTGTCCATGAATGGAGTTAATATTCTATTTTTTTTATGTATTGAATATTTGAGTAATTTTCCTTTTTTTTTAATGAAAATTCAAAAGATTTACTATTATTATACTTGTAAATTTGTAAATTATTTTTACGCTATTTATACTTAATTAAGGTTGAATAATGAATTATAAACAATTATAATTATTATTCTTTATTTTAGATTGAAATGGATATATCAAAAAAGTACAAAAATCGTCCTGTTTATATTATTGGAGCATCATTATTTGGATCATGATTTAATATTAGAAAGAAGAAAGGAAGAAACATATTTTTGTGTATTATGTTTAATTACTTCCTTTTTTTATTTGTTGAGGAATAAAGAATTATAAAAAATGTTAACTATTATTCTTAATAAAAATATTACTTTTATATAAACAAATTTATTTTTTTGTATCATACATTATTTGTATACTTAAAATTTTTTTAATAAATACATAATCTCTATTCACTAAATTGAACAAAATAGGAGTTCATTTTCAGGATACATAATACATAATATATATATTTAAAATCAGAAGTTAATAACATAACACATCTGTAGATATTGTATTTGATAAGACGAAAAGCATATTTGTTCCAGTTTATGATCCCCTGAAAGAAAAAAAAACAATTAAAAGTTTTACACTTATGAAGTTAACTCATTTTAGCAACTTAATTAAGTTTTAATTTATTTTCATCGATAACTTACGATTATTTAAATATTTTAATTAATATAAAAAATATAAATTAATTAACAACTTAAGAAAAATTAGAACGGAGGGTTGATTGATATTAAGTATAGAATGGTTAATTTATAAATTAGGTATAAAATAACAAAGCCAAATTCATATTGAATATTTAAAAAAATATTGCAGATTAAGAATTATATTAGTAAAAATATATATTAAAAATTTCCTTTTTTTATTTTTTGATTATATTACAACATTGAGATATATATGGTTAGATAGCTTTGATAATTAAGAGTGGTCAATTATAAAAACGGTAACACTTAATGGGAAATTGTATTGGATATCATTAGATAGTTATAATAATTTTAATTTATTAATAAAAATAAATTGTTAGTTAGCTTATTCAACAAAAAAATCTCTTGAGCCATGGGTTCATTGGTGATGTCAATAATTATAAGCAATTATGCGAAATCACTCAAAAATTAATTAATAAAAGAAAAATAAGAATTAAAGATTATGTAATGTATTTAAATAACAAATATTTTACCATCTCTATCACAAATTTCAATTTTTTTTTTAAATGTTTGTTTTTACACGATTATTTCAAGTATTCAAAAAAAATTTGTAGAAATAATTAGTTTATAAGTTATAGATTTTTTAAGTTGATGAATAAACAAACCAAAAACACTTAAAAAAACGGAGTTTTTTTGATTATCATGGTTTAAAATATATTGATTAATATATATTTTTAGTAAATGTTTTGTAAAATCATGATGACATAAATATTATACAATATCAAGACTGTAAGGTCAAGATTTAAACTCTTTTCGAGGTGTCAAATAGTATTAAGTTACCTATGGGACTATGGACTTGAGCGCTTCATGAAATAAAAAATTCATTATTTAAACTGATATGAATAATATACAATTTAAAATAATTACTATTTCAGTGTAAATTGAGTTTGTAGTTATATACGGTAATTTGGAATAAAAACGTAATATAAAATTGAGTAAATTGTAAACTTGTAACTTACTAACAAATTGTTTTCTCAAAAAAAAAAAAAGTTGATATATTTGTAATCAGGAGAGAAAAACAAAGATTAAAAAAAAAAATTAAATATATAAAAGGTGGTAAAATGCAACTAAGCTCATTTAATTAGTTTAGAATAAGAATTATCTTAAAGTATACTTTAAGAAAAATAAAAGTTAAGAATGTAGAGTCCAGGATACTAATACTGTATTCCTCTGATGAATAATACAGACATGATTGATACATTTATTTAACAATAAAGTCTTGACTTATTCTTAGTAACAAAATTTAAGTTTTAATTTTATCAAACATAATTTTCATGAAAAATACTTACACAATGATGTTGTTGATGGGTATATGAATAAGTTTGACAAAAAAACCAATAAATCCCATAATGCAAAATCCAATAGCAGTAGCAATGGCAATTTTTTGAAATTCTAAAAAAAAGTCTTGTATTTGAAAATAAACAAATATTTAAAAAAAAAAATTCTTACCTTTTCTATCAGGCTTAGTACATCTTTTTACTAATCTCACAGAGTCTTTTGAGAACTGACGTCCTGGTTCCAATACTTTGGTTACTTGATCCATTTTTATTTTTCAGGGCTATAGATAATAAAAAATTAATAAATTTGGAAATAGAGTTAGATATATCAAAAGAATAGCTTAGTTATTTACTTTTGTGAAACGGTATAAGATGCTGTAAATTCCAATGGTGAACCAACGCAAAATGTATTTTGTAAGAAAGTGACTTGTTAAAATGGACTAGAAATAGTTGGGTTTTGTGACACGTTATGATTATTCCTATCAATAATAGTATACGTAAACAACTGATTTGGAAACGTCATCGGCTTCGTTACTATTTCTCTGGGAGAATAGTAGATTGTGAGTATACAATCTCTTTGGCACCGCTAAATTCATTCTTCGGCACTAGAAATAATTATCAACGTTTTTCAAACCAGTTCGACCACTTATTATCGATGATGACTGTCGGAAGGAAAGATACAATAAAGATTATCATCATGAGATAGTTCAAGTCTCTGTTTCTATTAAGATATAATGGATTGTCCAATTTTTTGATTAATACTCACTAGATTATGTTGAATAATTGAATAGCTTATTAAAATTAATTAGTTACGACATTATTTTTATGATTTTCTAAAAAGTTATTTACTTTATACTTCATTATGGCATTTTTGTGTCCTGTAAGAATCCGCCGTGGGAAAAAGAAAAAAAGTTATATTTGCTTTAATTATTATTTTTAGACTTGATTTAAATGTATTCTGATTGTTATTAGGTGGTTCAACGAGTGATTTGGATAAAGATATTTTAAGGGGTAGTAATATCAATGGTCCAGTACCTGGCATGGGTCGTATTACAGGCAGTGCATCTATTGAAACATTGGTTCGTGTAGGTATTGAAAAAGAAAATGGTCTTTCGCCTGATAGTAAAATGGTTGTACTTCATGATTTTACCCCATGTGTTGATGATGAATTGACTGTCAAAAGGGGTCAGGTAAGAAAATTGGAAATTTTCATGTTTAACTTAATTATGTAATAGAATTTTAGTTAATTTTTTTTTATTTGTTAACTACACTTTAATTAATTTTTTAGGTTGTAAATATTCTTTATAGAGAAAATGATTGGGTTTATGTTATTGCTGAAGATAGTCGACAGGAAGGTTTTATTCCTCACTCATATTGTACTCCATATAATTCTCAGTTAGGTGAATTAGCTTTAAGTAATGTAAAAAAGAAATTACCTCGTGCACCAGCTGCCACTCCAACAGAAACTGTTGTAGAAGGTGAAATTAATGATCAACTTAAACACGGTAAATAATATTTTAATTTAATAAAATATATATTTATTATTTTGTATATGAATAATTTATGTTTGTTTTGTATTAAGGTAATTGTGGTGATATATCTGATTGTGAAAGTTTTGGCAATAAAACATTGGATCAAAAAAATCAAAACAAGTCAAACATTAATAGTTCTAGAGCATCATTATTAAGTGCCTCATCTAATCCTGATATCCGTCCATTTTTTAAAGTATTTGTGAATTATGTTATTGAATTAAATATTTTCAACATACATTTTATTTTTTAAAGGATCCAGCAGGAAGATATATTGTGTTATACACATTTATAGCTAGGGATGAAAATGATGTAAGTGTTGAAAGAGGAGAATTTGTTACTGTCTTAAATAGAGAAGATCCTGATTGGTACTGGATTATTCGTAGTGATGGACAAGAAGGATTTGTCCCTAGTGGTTTTGTTTATCCAGCTGATATAATACAAGGTATTATTAAAATAATTTTAGTAAAAGCTCAAATTAGTTAACTTTCTATTCTAAGTATTGATTTGAATTTTAGGTCATATTAGCCAAATGAATAATAATCAGTGTAATGGCACAACTAATACTGGTTTACCACCAGTATCTCGAGCAAAACCACGTAGAAATTCTGGCGTTGTAGATGATGACCCAGCTATTCATGGTACAGAAATGGTTATGCTGTATGACTATAAGGTATAATGCAGTTATTCATACATAAATGAAAACTAAAATATTTACAATTAATTTATAATTTATTTTTAGCCACAAGCGCCTGATGATTTATCAGTAAAACGGGGTGAATGGATTTATGCAGATCTTGACAATCAAATGGTTGAAGGATGGTTATGGACTTATGCTCCTAAAACTAGAAAATATGGTTTTATACCTAAAGCATATGCACATCCGCCTGCAATGACTAGTTTATAAGAGATTATTTATTATTTTTATTAGAAAATTTTAATGTTATATAACAGAAGTCTTAAACTTTAAGTTTGTTTTCACGTGTAATACAATAAAAAAAGAAAAAAATCTATTTATGTTTTTAATTATTTAATTAGAAAAATGTAAAATTTAACAATATGTAGCATGTGATCATAAAATTAAAATAAAATATTCAATTTAATAATTTGATACATATTTTATTTATTGTAACTGTTTTGATTTTTATAAATTAAGTTATCATATAATTATTTTCAGATGTAATTATTGTTGTTTTTAGATCATTTTATTTATATATTTTTAATAAAATTGACTCCTAATATTAATTCTGTTAAATTTAAATTAATTAAAAAATATTGTTTAATCAAAATCAATTGCAGTACTATTTTTTTTAATTTGTTGCCATCACACTTTGATGTGCCATTTTATAAGGAAGTTAATAATTGAAGGAATGAGAATCTATTTCTATTAACATTTACTACTAAAAACTAAGTAAAGCTATATACTCAATATTTATAATTAATTTTTTTTCTCATTTATAGTACACTTAGAAAATTATTATTTTATTTTTCACTTCAATCTTATACTATTAGGTAAAAACAAACCAATTTTGAAAATAATCCATTAAAACTTTAATACGTAGGTATTACTTAATTTGTATGCGTTTTAATAATTATGCTTATCAAAGTTTTATGAGTAAATTAAACAAAATTGTTATTTTAAGTTCATTTTTAAAAACTGTTTATTTCTATAGTAACTATTGCAATGAATTTTAATTTATTGTAAAAGTTAGTAATGTTTAAAAATAAGTACTAAGTATTTTTTTATAGTTTCCAAATAATATAGTTTTATTATTTTCTACATTTGTTTCAATTTTTTAGAATAAAAACTGATTTCTAATAATATTATTATTTACAAATGTCTTATAATACATAATTTGTGTAAAGTAATACATTTTAAATTTCAATTTAAGAGGTTTATTTAAAAGATTTTATGTTAAGTTTGAAAATATAAATAGATTTATTTAAAATTATAAATGCTATATTAAATGTTCACTTACCATGATTATATTAGTAGTATGAAATATTGACCTAAACAACATAAATGATGTATTATATATATACATACAATTGTATAAGTCATCATCAGAGTTTGTAATAATTAAAACTTAACTGTTTTTATGGTTTGGTGCTTATGTTAAATATGTTTTACTACTTAAAAGGTACCTAACAAATTTATTTCATAATCATTAGTGTAGTTTTATATGTTAGTACATTGTAATGCAATACTTATTATTAATTTTAACTTAAGGTAGTATTAACTTTGTATTTTTAGACATTTTAATAAATAAAATGTATTTTTTAGTAAAATTATACTTGTGTTTTTTATTTCTTGTAATTACAATTATTCCTAGTATCAAACTTCAACAACAATATTTCTCAGTGGATAACAGTTCTTCAATCGGATACCGAGACTGGAAGAAAATGTCTGTACTTGTAGCAGACTTAGTCGGAAAATCAGCAGTTGAAGATAAAACCAAGACAAAATTTAATGTGTTAGCATTGATTATACAAGTGGCGTCTGGAGTAATTGGGCATGGTGCTAATACTTTAAGGACATTAGTATTGAACGGTCTAATGCTTTTATCCAATACGGTAATAATATGAAGTGTGTAAAATTATAATTTTCATCTTTTGAGCTTTTTTAATGACTAGAATACTTTATAATAAACGTTTAATTGTAGCGATTTATTAATTTATGGTCTGTTTTTAACGAATAAATAAATATTAGCATGATATTACACGCTGTATAGGTATTAAATGCATCAAAAGATTATCAAATAAATCAAAAAGAAAAACCTAAAGAAATTATCAGAGGCAACCCGACTGATTGGATTTTCAAGAATTCGTTTGTAAGAAAAACATTTTTATTTTATCTATAAATTATCATTAGATTTGTTTACTAAATTAATAACTTGTTAAGTAATTATTCCAGTTACTAATATAACCAAATAATAACCTTCAGTGTTATGAAGTATGTGTTAATGTCATTTGTAATTTTAAAAAATCAAATTAACTCTTCATAAAATTATATAACAACTGAATATTAATGTGTTAAATTATAATCACTAGAGTAGATTTCTTTGTTTTATGCACACACACACATACTGGACAAACTCTAAGGTGTGTGATGTGTACCTCGAGGTACACTTCGCTGGCCCTGCATATATACACTGTGTAATTAAAAATTACTCGCCATTTTTTTGTCAAATAATGATTTTTTCATTAAAGTGTACGGATTAAAATTGAATTTATTTTTATATAAATATATAGTAAATATGTTAAGTCTATTGAAAGAAAAAATTATTTTTAAAAATAGATTTTAGAGATAACTTTCAGTAGTAGTATTATTACTCTTTGAGTTTGTATAATTTTTAGTTATAGGCGAGTGGGTTGTACAACGTAGTAGAATGGAATATCTGTGCATTATAGTAAAAATAGAGCATTACTAAATACCACCCCATTCCTCACCTATTCAAAATTTTTAATTGGTAATATCTCAAAAAGTAATAACACAAAACTGGTTATCGCCAAATTTATTTAATAATAAAAAAAACTACAGCTTTCGAAAGGTACCCTTAAAATCTACCTTTAGAAATACATTTTTCTTACTATAAACTTGATATTTACAAAAATAAGGAAGAGGTAGTATTCTTAAATCACACTGTTAATTAAAAAAAAAACATAAATATATACATTGTTACTACTTAAAAGGTATATATATGTATCATGCGAATATCGTTGTAGGTAAAGTCAATGATTCATGAAGCGATCAACGAAAATTTGTCCGATCGACTAGAAAGTATAGCTTTTGGCATGCCATGTGTACAACTTTTAATGTGTCGAATAGCTCCTGTACTTGGATACATGCAGCACAAAGTAAAAGAACGATGGGTTGACCAGAAAGGGAAATTACCGAGAAATGCGTCTGGTTGGGACGGAATCAAACACAATGGAAAGATGTGCAGTGACAAGTATTACAACTGTGAAATAAACACGAAGAATAATTACTGATCATAATTAATGCACACATACGTCAAAATATTATACATGTGCAACATAATTTATGTAAATAATATTAAAAAAATTAGTGCAATACATACATAATTTGTGATTATTTTAAACGATATAAAAATTGTTGGCGTAATATATGTACCTTAAATGTGTTACTGGAACATTATGCGGTGGCCGTAAAATAGTGTAATTAGATACTAGGTGGCTATAAAAACATTATCAAATTTTGGTAAATGTACGTGAAGCAATTATTATTTAGGGTAATGCGAATTTAGAGAAAATCGTCACGTATTAATTGCCATTGTCTGTTGCTTGTGCGGTTTTTGCTTAATGGTTTGGTATGCATACTTGTTATCTCATAGTTTGAGGTGCGCATCAATGCTTTAGTTAATTTAATACAGTGGCTATTAGGATATCAAAATTATTATTATATTGTTACGATGAAGTAAATAGAAATTGTTGTCTTATTAAAGTTTTCACTATCGAAAAAAATGCGTTTAGAAGGTGACCGCATAGACACCTAGTTTTTTATATGGTCAACAATTTTTTGTAATTTATAACTTTTATAACATAAAAATATCCTAATAACTCATTCTCGAGGGAGACGTTTTAAAATATAATTTGAAAAAATAATTGCTGACAATATAGGTGATTTAAATACAAATCTAATGTATTTTAAATACAATATGATTTTTTGCTCCTATAATCGTTATAAAATTTATTATTGTGGGATAATCGTTCCTCGTATTCTTCAACGTTTCTGATTGTATTCGAGAAAAAACGGTAGATGAGCATTTAAACGGATGGGTCACCAAATCGTTTTAAATGACTGTTAAGATGATTTAATCACTAAATATATTTAGTACATACGTTCAGTAGGTAATAGTAGTTATCATAATATTATGTACCGTAAAAGTAGTGTATGACATCAAGTTCATAACATTCTGTCACCGTTTGGTGATGCATTTAATGACAATTGTGCCGTATGAATTTACTCGCTCGTAGTAACTTATAGACAATATGAGGCCACCACCGTCACAATGACCGTAATAGAAAAATCTTAATAACTTCTGAATTCCTGGTACAAATTTTTTGTTTTCACTCATTTTAATACTGCGGTGACACAGAAATATTATGTACCCCTTCTGAATCCCTGTTACCATTTTTCAATTATTTAACGCATAGCGTTGCTTGTCCGGATTATTGCTTGTTATGTTGCTTTACAGAACGCCTTATTTTACTTCGTTAGTTGTTCTTTTATTTTTACGAACTCATTATTACTTAAATTTGAATTAAAATACAGTAATGTCACGCTGTCCCAAAAATCGATCAGTAATCCGACATATCTTGCAAAGATCTTGTTAATGATTTCGAAGAATATACAAATAAATAAATCAGTCAATACTCATTTTTTTTTTAAATAAAATTGTATATTAGTATATCATAATGTTCGTAAAATATTTATAAAATAAAAATGATAATTTTTCATTTTAAAATAAATAAATGTTGTCACTGTCTTTCAAATTAGATAAAATATTTACTCAGTTAAAATAAAAAAAATAATAGTGATATTTTATTTTAATAAATTGTATTTTATTTAAAAAAGTTTATCATTGTGCATAACATTATTTTTTATCGTTAATATCGTAATATTTAATGGATCCATCATAATGAATGATTTATTGAACTTTATAGAAATTTATTACTATATTTATGTATTATTTAACTTTTGGATATAAAAAAAATCGTTATTGATTAATAAAGTTATAATTATAGAATCGTATTTAAGTAAGAAATAGTTGTAGCAAGTTTTTTGTGTATCTTTATGTGACAATATTTGTATTACTGTTAAGAGGATGAGGAAAGTTTTGCTATTGAATATTAAATATAATACACAAAATAAAAAGTTAAACTAACTTAGACGTAATTAACCTAAGTCGTTCACACTAATATTAAGGACAATAATTTATCAACGAGTTAATAATATGAATACAATAAGTTCACTTTTACACTTGGGACTATAACGGAGTTAACACTTAACAACAAGTAATTATTAAAGCTGTAATTCTTTATTTAACCTGTTTTCAAACCGGATTAAATAATAATGCACTTGATACTGAAATATAAAAATAATAATTTGTAAAAATAAATATTACATCCGAAAAATAGGTTTAAATTTTGGAAGAATTTCGATTAACTATAATTATTGACTGCATGGTAATTTCGTGTATAGTAAACACATTTTAGTCAGGTAAAGGTGTGAAAAAAAAGTGTTAATAACTAAAACCTGACGTGATGCGTGTAGAGCGATTGATATTTTTAAACGAATAGTTCCAATCGAAACGTTCGGTACATTCGCGATTTTCTGAATAAAATATTGAATGGAGGAAAATTACATTTTCTAAAATATTCATCACACAAATACTTTGCGAACACGATTTTAAATGACACGTTTTTTTTAGTTGCAAAAAGAGTACAATCGCCTGAAAATAATACGAGATTTGTATAAAATATATTTCAATATACTGCTCTAATCACTGTACACAGATTTGTGTATTATTTTTTATATTATGTAGGTCACTTACTTAACCGTCGGAACAATTGTTGTATGCAAATAAATCGATTTAAATAAGAATGTAGTGTGCCTAGCGACGGTTTAATGAGAAAATGCGATGCACACCAATTATTAGTAGTTACACTTAATGGTTTTGCATTGCTAACGTTGATTTAAAGAATTATTACTTATATATAAATATATCATTACATTAGTACATATATATGGACTGTATTTTGCGAGTCGCGAGTTTTTTTAATGTAACACGCTAATAATTAATATTCGTTTTCCGGTCATAATAAAAAAAACCGAAGTGGTCCATGTGTTATATATATTTCGAGCGATTATCTTAATCGCAAACTGTGGAGGTTTTTATTAATTTTCTGTGTAACATTAACCCACTTATGTATGCACAGGTATTCGACTTGTTTACTTTATTATTAACGTAAATATTAAATTATGTCGTTTCTTTTAAAAATTAAATTCTGATTTGTCGTAAAATTAAGTTTATTATATTAAATTCAGTAACTTATAATTTTAAATAAACATTTCTTGAATATTTCAAGTTAAATTAATGGAGAAATAATTATGCACTCACGATAAATACAATTATCATATTTGTCTACAGATTTAAGAATAATTTTTTTTAATTGTTATTTTGTAAAGTATTATAAAAATAAAATTTTGTTCGCATAATAAGTTAGTCAGTTTGATTCTAAATGTAATTTACTGTATGTGGTCTCCGAGTACAAGTTAATAATACCTACCCTCATATTAATTTTTACACTTAATTAAAAAACAAAAAAAAATAATAAAACGTATGAATAGTAGGAATGAGTTAGCAAAACGTTTTCATAACTAAGTAATTTTACAAAATAAAAAGTACTATAGTTTTATTATTTCATTTTATGATTATATTCTTTACTATCAAGTATAATAAACTAACTATGCAATTTAGTTCTGTATTAACCAAAAAATTAGAAAATTTTAGTATCAAACTTCTTGTTATCCATTTTCAACTTTTTTAGTTCATAAAACAAAATTAAACATAACTATATAATTTGATAAAAAAAAAAAATGTTGATAATTTTTAATTTCATACAAAGGCTTCTTTAAACATTTTTTATTAACTATTACAACGGAAAATATTTTTTAGCTTCGATGCATTAATTTTTTTTTAAATTAATTTTTGAATAATTAGTAATTTTGAAAAGGACATAAGTATTTCAATTGTCAAACTTGTATGTAAACAAAATAGTTACAAAATTATTAACAAGAGAGTCCTTAGGATATTGAGTGGATACCTTAAAAAATGTTAGCGATTTCTTCTTTAGTTGACTTTTAGCATGAGATAATGTTTAACACAGCCAACAGAGGACCTTGCATTTTAAGTCTCCCCTGAATATGCCTCTGATTATTAATATTTTTAAAAGTTATGATCAACTATATTTTATAGCCCTGGAGGAGTTTGAGCATGTGATATAATAACTTATGAAAAAGGGAAGACTAAAAAAAAAATTAATCATTGTTACATTTTTTAATAAGTACAGTAAAGTTGCTTCGATTTTTTTTGTAATAAAATTATCTAGAACTTAGGAAAATCGAGAAAGAATGAGAAAATTAAATTTTCTTTATACTCAAAAAATCATGAACATACATAGAGCGATTATGAATATTATGTGGCGCTATGCTCTTCAAATATACATTAGATAACTTACTTATTTTAATATATTTCAATCATATATACACATAAATATTGTCAGTGAATTTAATCATAATTTCTATCGAATCAACAATAAACTTTTAATGATTGTATTTGTGTTTTAACATATACAAATTGATTAATTGTTGACATAAAAGTTGAATGTGAATGCTTTTTGATATTATTTATAGCTACAATTTTTACTTAAAAATAAATATATAAATTAACAATTATAGGCAAATAAGAACACCACGTGTCAGCATTTATAAATAATTGTTAAACCCGTTATTTCCGTGCCCATATTTATAACTGGCTAAATAGCGGTGTTCCTGTTTTCATAAAGAAGATGAGGTTATTTCTCGCCTCTATGTTGTTAGCCATTATATACCTCTTGTAGGCACATTTTTTAAATTTCCTAACTATTTTTATGGTTTATAATTTTAACATTTTAATGTTTATTTAGAACTTTAATAATTGAAATATAACCAAGCTTTAATTTATCAATTTGTAGGTCCAGTGAAAATTAAAATATTGGGTCCCTTAAATACTATAATTGAACTTAAGTAAGTAAAAATAAAAGGTTATCAACTATTGGCACAATTATCATTTTCCCAAATTATGATACCATAGGTCTGAATAAATATTACAAACGTTCTTGCATAAATTTGGTACTGGACATGACTATTAATGGAAAAGTATAAATAGCAAAAATGTCTAAAATTTACTAGTATCAGTCTTTTAATGGTTAAGTTAATTTTTACTTAACTATAATAATGAAGACCTCGATCAATTTTTTCGAAACTAATTGTTTTATAAATATCAACTA